TGACTACAAACTTGACGCCCATTCCATCCGCAAACAGTTGCCAACCCATTTCTTCTTCTTCTCTCTTTGCTTGTCGGCCCATCAAAGAAATAATTGGAAGAATTACTTTATAAATTAATTATATTATTATTATATATTTATATATTATATTATATCATCAATTTTTTATTTTAAAAAGTAAACAAAATAATTTCTTCATTCTTTTATGAAAATCAAATGATTAAATTACAGATAAATGATCATTTTGATTCTCTAATCTTAAAAGAAAATGAAAATATAATATTGATATTTTATAGATTGAGAATTTAAATATATTTTAATAATTAAAAATTATTATCTAAAGAATCAATAATTATTTATTCTATTCTATTTAAATATAAATATTATATGCATAGATGTTACTCCCAAAAACAGTAAAAAGTCAACCAAGTATGCAAAGCGGCTTCTCAACAGTGCCTCCACTGTTTCCAAACCTCTTTCTATATTAATTACAGTTCACAGGTCTCTATAAAACGGAGAGAGAAGCGAGAAGCAAAAAATCGATCAATCGAGGAGAACCCAAATCCTAGATTACTAGCGCTTCGATCGGAATCGAAGCAAAGGCACAGAATCGATGGCGGGGTCAGCGGACGCAGGGTGGTTCAAAGTCAGGGAATGTGGGAAGCGAGCATCCCGTATTCACGGCGACATTCGCCGGAGCCGTACCACCGTAACTGCAGTTGCCCTCCATCGCTTCCCGGCCGTTGCAGCCGACGCTCCCCCTTCGCAGTCCTCCGTTCCTACCCACCGCCGCCGCTCTCCGTGGCAATCCTCAACCTCCTTATCCTCTACCAACCTCGGCGGCCACCGCCGAAGTTACCCCCGCGTCTCCTTTGACGGACCGCCATGTCGAGTGCCACGGTCATCTCCTTCAATATCCATACGAGAGCTGAAATGGAAGAGCAAACGAATCAGCTCTATCTATTTGTTCAATTACTAATTCTCTTTATGTTTTTCTATTTGCATCGATTGATCTTTCATATCTGATTGTATATTTCATTTATGTAATTCTCATCGCTTTGAATTTATTCATTTATTTATTTTAGATCACACAAGATTGGACTTTTATGTTGTTTGATTCATTTAAATTGGCTAAGGATCTTCCTTGTTTTAGAAGCTTATAAGTAATGCTATTTATTCATTCCACAGCTTTCAAAGCTTGGAGATTCTGTTCATCAACTTAAATATCCTATAAACAATATCTTTCAAGATTGTGCACAATATTTTTGGAGGGAGAGTTAATAATAGAAATTAGAAAATAAGTATATGGATCTACTAAAATTAATTTAATTTTTATATTTATATTTTTATATTTATACATTATAATTAACTGAATATTTATAAACGTTAAAAAATAATTTCTCTTATATAAGTTTTAAAAGGATAATAAAGCCTTCCAAAAAAAGCATATGAAAAGTATGTTATATCAAATTATGGTTTCATTTGACAAATTTTTATTTGCTTTTTATGACTTTTTAGATTAAATTTTAGTCTCAAAAAATTATATTAAAAATTTGCTTAAAAAGCAATAAAAAATAACCTAAAATCAAGGCCTATAATGTTTTGTTCATTTAGCGATATTCTAGATAGAAGAGCCGTAGGTGGATTCTGTCAAAGGGTTGAGATCATAAGCTCTGTAAATTATTAATATATATTTAAAATTATTTAAAGAAGAAAAAACATAAATTCAAAATTCAATTCCAAATTTCATAATAATTTGTCATACTTTAATTCAAAATTTATAACATAAATATAGAACAAATGTTGAAAATTTGGTAGTCAAGAATTTACTAGAGGCATATAAAAAATATATTATACAAATATCTAAATATTAAAAAAACTAACATTCAAAATATTAATATCTCAATAGTCCAAAGATTTAATACTCATACATTTTTAGAAGATCATTAAGATTGTGACTATCTAAGACCAATGACTTCTTCAATTAAAGAACAACAATAAAGAGGCACGGGCTAATGTGCTTTTGGTCAAGATCAAAGTACTGGCTATCATTAAGTTGGTGAAAATGAGGGGAACCCAATGAGTTAGCAAGGATTTGGAGTTGATAGAGTATCTTAATTGAATGACCAAGTTAATGTTAAAAAATAATGATCAAACGATTATTGCTTCTTTGAAGTCGGTGAAATAGAAAACATAAGTTGGTGTGGGAGAAGTAACGGTTAATTGAGTCTATAAAAAAACAACTTAGCAAGGAAATAGTGAAAAATTGGACCATGTATTTGATATGCCTTGGAAGCGAAATCAACGAGAAGTAAGAATAAAAACTACAAGGGATTGAGAAACGGTGGCTAATTTTTTTGTATTAATACTTCAAACCAAAAGCAAGAAACAATGATCTATAATTACAGAGGTAGAATCGACTCTCCCAAACCACGTAGACGCCACCACTAGGAGTCCATCAAAGAAAAGAAATTACATCATAAATAAAATTTCACATAATCCTCATGAACCATAGAATAATCCTTAAATAAGCTCCCTTAATTTCCCAAAAAACATCCCTCTTGCCTTACTTCTCTTCCCTATTTTGAATTCAAATCCTTTTATTAATTCCTTCCCTAATCATTCTCCTCACATATGTAATTATAACTTTGATAGGCCCCACAAAGGGGGTTGAATTCTCTGTTGTTCCCACCCCATCCGGCTGGTTCGCCGTTTCAATTTTTTTTCACTTGACAGGTTAGTCTTGGGCGCAACTTACATTCAAAAACTCGATAGTTCGCAAGATTCTAAGATGCAAGCAAACTAATTTCAGTAAAAATGATAAAAACTTTGTCCTAAAATCTCTATCACCTCATAATTTTGATTTGAAAAGATATTTGGAAAGATTTATATGAGCATGCAAATAAACAGTAGTAATTATGACATGAAATAAGTTTGTTAGGCAGTAGTAAATGTTTGTAGCTAAAATATTGATGAGTCAAACAAGAATGTAAATCTGCCTTTTCTCCACTGAATTGAATGCAAAAAAGCTCTAATAGGAAATGGTGACAACTACAACACATTAATATCCCAATAATTTGACAACTGACCTTACTTATTAATTTACTAAAGCAGATGTATGCCTATGATGCTCTTAGCTGTTCTCAAGCAACTGAAATTTATGTTTGCAGTAGCAATTATAGATGATATGGAGATTAATGTTCCTTCTTATGTATATTTTTTAAATTTAAATTCTCTTAATATGGTGTACAATAATATCATTATTTGTAAATTCTAAATTAAGATTTGACTCTAATTGTTTTAAAAGCCTAAGAATAATGTAGGCTTTATTGAAGTTCTTAAATTTAAATAAAACTTTATCAACATAAAATCCTTTCAAGACTCGCATTTGGGACACCTCAGTCGTCTTTTAAAACAATGATGTTAGCGCCTGCACACATCTGAGAAAGCACTAAAAAGAAAGTGATCTGAGGTCCCCAAGAGCAAACGGTTTAAGGATGTGGGGCGGAGATGTCTAAATCACTAATTCCGTCTAATCGGCTTGTGTCCTATTTCTAGGTATTCAATAAAAATGTCATCCAGCTCGCGCACCTTTCACGAAAACCTAAGGATCCCACCTCCCCCCTTGCGCGCTTTTTGAAGCTCAAAGTGAAGGCCTAAGAATTGGGCAATGTCAAAATTAAATAAGTATTATTGCGATTAAAGCACTTAATATTTGAGCAACCATATCCAACCACACAAATTCATATATTCATACCAACCATCAAAGCTTAATAATGTAGAACTTTACTTTGCAATAGTCTTATATTCAAATTGAGTTTAGTGCCAAAACACAAATTCAGCATTTACATATTTATACCAAGTTTCAGATTTTAGACCCTAAATAGAGCTAAAACCTGCAATCAACCAATGTAGGAGTGTAATTGAGTTGAATTGGCTCATGAGCCTACTCAAATTTGACTAACTAAAGAGATTAATTAGACTTCACGAGCCAAAACTTTGTGCTTTACCCAATATATCTTATGAGCTCGAATTAGAGCTCAACCTAGCTCAATTTGTGAACTTATCAAGCTGCTTGTTTAAATTAGTATATATTTTAAAATAATGAAATAAAATATATAAAAAGAATTTTTTAAATATTTCTAAAATTAAACTCAAGCTTTCCTATTGAGCTCAAGGCCAATAGCATTCAAATGAGCCTATTTCAAGTTGAGTAAATGAGCTCAACTCGAGCTTAAGGTCAAGTTTACCCTCCGTCGGAATCAAACAAGGTTCGTCCATTGAGACAGATACTCTACTCGACTCATTTCCACCTCAAAATCAGCCTAATAAAACGTAACTATCACTAGCCTATTATCAGTAGTCTTTTGAGTTCATACAACCGACCTTATCATCTTGAAAATTAGAGCTTGGACTTCTTATATTTAAAAAAAAAAAATTCAAGCTAAAGAAATTTACCAAAAATGGGCGTAGCAGTCAGTTGGTGCGGCTATCTTAATGGATTTTATTCTTTCACATTTTGAAATCGGAAACCAATTTTGAATAAATATGTTTGTCATATAGCAATAGCTTTTCAACGGTCTTTATGGGCGTGCCGTTGAGAATTTAAAACATAATAATCTCCATACCACTTGATAGAACATTTGTCCCTTGCATTGTATAATTATCACATGCTTTTTATTTTTTTAAAGTCAACTCTTTTTTTTTAATTAAATATTTTGCTACACAATCGATGTTTGAAATATTTTTTCCTTTTCTTGCAACATCCAAACCCGAGAAAAATTATTTCATGTGAAGTCCGGACGGTAAGACTGTCCGGATGTGAGTGCACATAGTATTTGTACACACTTTATAAAAAAAATTAAATTATGTATAAATTTATACTTAATGTACACAGTGTGTACACTCATATCCGAAAGTTTCTTTACTGTCCGGACTCCGCAGGGAATAATTTCTTCAAAAACGAACCATTGATCTTTGAAAATTTTACGCATCAAAGATCCAAGCAAAACAATCATTGTGAGAAGCTTTCTATTGTCCCCCACATAATATGCTTCATCAGCTACAGTCAAACAAAAAAATACAAAAAGCTGAAGAGAGTCACAAAAAAGGCCTTAAAATATATCCAAGCTTGGCGCAGGGGATCAATATCAGCTGCTCAGGAACAAAAAAACCAAATTCATGAGGTCAGAAAGAGCTGCTTGAGCCATGCATTCTTAGCAGCATCTTTTTCCAGCTCGCTTGCGAGTCTGCTCACATTCTGCATGGCTTGCTCCACATCCATTTGGTCCAGTGGCATTTTGGCAAATTCCTCGAGGAACCGACGAGCTCGAGCTGCACCTGTAGTCATCTCATCAGGATTGCATACTTGTATCCGTTTAGCTCCAGGCTGACCACAAAAAGAGCAGAGATTAGAGTTGTGGTGCACCCACAAGTAAATTAGATTTGGTTTTCTAGGTCTCATGAACTATAGCAGGTTCTTGCCCTTCTGAGTGCATGGAATACAGGCCTCCATATTTTTTACACTCGGGTCAATTTGTATCCCGTAAACATGTAGCAAATTTTTTGCTCTTAACAAACTTTATAAATATAATTGTAAATTGGTTCCAATATGATGATGATGATAATATTAATAATAATAATAATAATAATTGTTGCGTCCTGGAATGTTCGCAGAGGTAGAGAAGTATAAAGTTTAACATCTTAGCGTTGTACGAAGATCCAGCACGCAATCAAAGGAAAGAAATGGTGTAGCGTTCATAAAAGATACTAGAGTTTTTACGTGGAAACCCCTGAAAAAGAGAAAAAGCGAGGGGCCTAGCCCAGTTTGAATGAATCCACTATTATTTGCAGTCTAGTACAAATGAGGTCCTTCTTTGGGAAGAAGGCCTTGGGCTGATGTAGCAAATGTACATCATATTACAAGATGGGAATTGGAAGAATTAGTATTGAAATGTTTGTTTAGTAGGCAGAATCATAGTCGGCGGGCGACGGAGGTCGGAAAGATCATAGTCTGACGACGGTGGTCGGAAGGATTATTGCCTGGTGAGAAAGGTTTGAAAGACCGTAGTTGGCACTGTCTAGGTCTGAAGGACCATAGTTGGCGAGAGACAGTGGTCAGAAAGACTGTTGTTTGGCGCGTGAGGTCGGAAGGACCGTAGTCGGCCAGAGACAGTGGCCAGAAAGACTGTTGTCTGGCGAGGGAGGTCGGAAGGACCGTAGTCGGTAAGAGATAGTGGTCAGAAAGATCGTTCTCTGGCGATAGAGGTTGGAAGGACCGTAGTAGGCGACAGAGGTCAGAAAGACCGTAGTCGGCAAGAGATGGGTCAGAAAGACTGTTGTCTGGCGGTGGTGGTCGGAAGATCCATAGCAGGCGAAGGAGGTCAGAAGGACCATAGTCAGCAGGAGAATGGGGTCAGAAAGACCGTTATCTGGAGATGGAGATTGGAAGGACAGTAATCAGAAGGAGATAGGGGTTAGAAAGACCGTTGTCTGGCGATGGAGGTTGAAAGGACCGTAGTCGGCATGAGAAAGGGGTCAGAAAGACCAGAGTTGTAAGGCGGAGAGGTCTAGGCATTATTCGGCAGTCTAGCGGAACTCCATCTTGGGTTGGTGGTTCGGCGAAACTCCAAGCCTCAGTCCGTGGTCCGACGGAACTCCGGTGTCAGGCGGTGGTCCAACTGAACTCCAGTGTTAGGCGGCGGTCCAGCAGAACTCCGACGTCAGGTGGTGGTCTGGCAGAACTTCGATGTCGGTCAGTGGTCCGACAGAAGTCTGACGTTAGGTGGTGGTCCAGTAGAACTCCGGCTTCAAGTGATGGTCTTGCATAGCTCCGGCGTCGGGCGCTGGTCCGGAGGAAGTCCGGCGTCGGGTGGGGATCCGAAAGAACTCTGGCGTTGGGCGGTGGTCCGACGAAAGTCCAACATCGGGTGGTAGTCCGACGGAACTCCGGCATCGGGTGGTGGTCCGACGGAACTACGGCGTCGAACGGTGGTCCGACGGAACTCCGGGGTCGGGCGGTGGTCCTGTGGAAGTCTGACGTCGGGCGGTGGTCCAACGGAAGTCCGGGGTCGGGTGGTCGTCTGGTAGATTTCCGGGCGATGGTCGAGGATGAGTGAGGAGGCAAGAGTGATCTCTCTCTTGCCCTCTTGCTTGGGATTCCTTTCATGAGAATGAGTCTATTTATAAATTTTCTAGATTGACATGACTCATAAATAGGAGGAAGATCATGGGTAAATGGGGAGTGGTTTGGATGGACGGCCGATGTTCAATCCCTTGATCATGGACCGTTTGTTGGATATTTGAAGGTCTTAGAGATGTCGAAATTCCGTGATCTTAGGCTTGTTGGATTCATCTCGTCGAGCCGCTCAATTCGACTATAAGCATGTCATGTTTGGAAATCGTTTGGTCATCCAAATTGTGATTTAAACCTTCCAACAGCGCTTCAGGTCCTTGATTTGGACCCATTTGGGCTCGGATTGAGTCGAATTTGATGTCGTTGGGTTTGTATTTTCGAGACGTTCAATTCGACTATAAGTTTGTTGAAATCGGAGTCTGGATGATCCCAATTTTAATTTTGAAAGTTTACGACTTAATTTTGCCTCAAGATTCGAGCCCGGTCAAGATAATTTTTGGATGATACATCAATAATAATAATGATAATAATAAAAGACATTTAACTAAAAATTTGTACAACAATATAATAAAAATCTTAAATGGAAACGTACAAATGAAATGCAAAATAAATTAAAGGCAATATTAAATCCCACCAAGATATATGATTTTTTTGACAAACGACATATCTATTGCACTTTTATTAACAACTTTAGTTTTGTTGATGAGAAGGTTGATGGGCAATTAAAAAATTTAGGTTGTATTCTAATTTTTATCAATCTTCTAAAAATAACTTAGGAATATCACATCTCTTGATTAGAAAAAAATATATCAAGTAAATAAAATAATTTAACTTCAAAACAATAGAGTTAAGTAATACAAGATGCATCATAATATTAAATGTCATTTAAAAAAAAATGACCTACCATACAAAAAGAATCATGCTTTCTCAATATCTGTGATAAATCTAATACGAAAATATACATGAAATTCTATGGTTCCATCATACAATCACTATCTTTAGTCTACTTAGTTAAAAGAGTTAGTTAATTCAAACTAACCAAAAAATTTGTCAATAGCTTGTGTGCTTCGCCGAAGAGTACCCTAAAGACTTAAGGTGGATGTTGTCTAGAAGGACATATTCAAGTTGACCTTAACTAATATATAACTTTGTGCTCTATCAATTATATCCTATATCGTTCTCGTCATATTAGACACAATGGAGAAAAATGATTCATGTAGTTGATCCCACGTAGTGGGACTAAGGCTTGATGTTGTTGTTGTGGTGGTTGTCGTCTTCGTTATATGTGCTCAAATCGATGGTGAAATACATATGGAGGTCAACAATGCTTTCCTTAATAAATATCTTCATAAGGAAATCATTAACATGCATGTTAACTTTAACATATATTCCATAGGCTTCATCCTATAATTAGACAAATTCAACAATCATGAACAAAGAATTAATCAATAGTATATTATATATCTCTAACCATGATAAATCATTAGAAAGCTCATCAAAAACATCTTTAAAATCAACCAAAACATGATTGACATCATCAGATAAAGTCATATTTCTAATATTACATTGTTCAACCCTGCAACCAAGGCATAAATCACATCTTTCTACATATTCTCTTTCTTAATGCATGTTTACTCATAATATGAAAAAAAAAATTTAACTTCATTAGGACCACTAGATTCTTTAGTAGATTCCTACTTAAGCTTTATAGGTTTCTAAACTACCACTTATCCATTAGTCTTCAAAGTATATGTACTTTAACTAACAAAATGAGTAATATCACATACAACTAATATCTACCATAAAGAACATGTAATGACCGGTTTAGCAGTGCCGTTTCAACTGAACCAACCAGATTTTATTAAAATCGATCCAAAGGGAACGGAGCATGCGGACAAACCATGAGCTGGGGCGAGCCGATCGCGAGCACAATTTGCAATTATGAGCGAAGGATCACGTTTGTAGGAGTAAATTAACTACTCTATAGAGAAAACTCATTTCATTCATTCCAGTGGAAGAAATCGCGAGAGGAGAGTTTCTGTTGAAGGGGAACGACTAAAAAAAAAGAGAATGTTTGTTGATTTTTTTTCTATCTTTGTATAAACCCTTTCATATTTCTTCATCTAAACAACAAAGATGTTCCATTAAGGGAAAAAGAAGAGATTGAAAGTGGAGAGAAAGAATTTGGGAAAGAAAGAAGAAGGAATTTAGGCTATAATAATCCTCATTTGTAAGTGATTTCTATCATATATCTTCCGTTAAATTTGTAGAATGAAAATTATTAAAATTTATTCTATGACGATTTTTAGAAGGGAAAGGAAGAAATCAAAATTTGGTGGAAGTCTGATTCAACAAGAAAGAAAGTGTCTTTGAGGTAAAAGATACAAGTTAGGAATTTCATGTCTCTAAGTTTTGAGAATTTCTTCAAATTGGTTTAGTAATGTTAATGTCAATTAGATTAGATGGATTAGAAAAGAATTTGAATAACATTGTGTGTGAAGGTGAAATATCGACATCAATAAGAGAATTCTCAGTGAGATTGGTGATTGTAGTAAGAAAGATCGTCACAAGAGTTGAGAATTTGAAAAGTGTTAAAGTCAAAACATTGAAAGTGGGTATTTTCAGAACTCTTTATTGTATTATTTTCTATTTTTTAAAAGGAGAATGTTACATAAATATTTTAAGACTCGTGAATTGTTTTTATTACTTATTGAATAAGCAATGTATATATAAGTATACATGTATGTGAAAAAAAATTGTATGTAAAGAAAATACATATAAGGAAAATATAAAGTAAAGATATAAAATCTTTATACATATATTGACACATATATGTGTATCAAAAGTAGATATATGAATGAATGATATATAAGTGAATGAAAGATAAATAAAATAAAAATGTAAAAGAAAAGGAAAAATGATATGCATTAAAATGTACAATAGTTCAATCCTGTATGGTACTGACTGGGGAAGTAGCATACTCGTGCACGAAAAAGAGAAAAGGTAATGGAAAAGGAAAAGAAAAATGAAAATGGTTGTACCTTCGATACATATAGACGGTGCTCATGTACAAAATAAATGGAAAAAGGAATATATGTTAATGCTAATGCTATAAATGAATATAATATAATATATATAGAGGAATGAAGGATATATGATATAGTATTGATAAATGAATGAATGGAATGAAATGAATCAGAGAATGAAATGTATCTCAAATATTAAATTAATGAACATACATCATTCACAATAAAGTTATATATATTGTACTTCATGCATGTAAATTGTTTTAATAGTTATCCACTAAGTTTTTAAACTCATTCCACTAAATAAATGTTTCATGTAAGTCTTCAGAAATTTAAAAATGACAGAAAGGGAAGAATTTGTTTATAGAAGATGACACAACACTGAAAATAGGTAATTTATAATATTTTCAAAGTTTAAGTATTTAAAGAATTTTGTTAGTAGCTCTTCAGATTAAGGAGAAAGTTTGATGTTTTAAATGTTGAATTATTTATGAATTAAAATGATTTGATCCTACCATCCGACTTTCATTCCCGCCTCATTAAGTCGAGCATATGGACCGGGTCATGACAGAACATCACATATCACCAAATTCTATCAATATAAATAAACAACTGAATAAAAAATAAATATCTTTAAAATGCATAAATAGCAACTTTATTTACCAAAACTACCTTTATATGATTGTAGATGTGAATTTAGGTAAATGCAAGCCATCTAAAATAAACTTGGACAAAATATTCATATAGCTCCCACAATCAATTATTGGTTAGCAAAGCCTCCCCCCACGTTTGAATAAATTTAAAAAATTGAAATTACTTTAATTTAAAAAATTGCAATTATTTTCCATTCAAATTTAATCTTATGAGTATCTATGATGCAACACATTACATTCAAAGAATTATTTATTAAAGAATCATCAAAATCACTACTATCTTCATCAAATTCATGAACTCATCATAAAAATTAATTTTATTTTCCTCCACATTTATATGTTATTTCCTTCCACAACACTCACTAGCGTAATGACTAATTCGATGACATTTAAATTATCTTTATAGCAATCTTAGAACTTGATGCAAAAGTATTTAATTTTCCTTCAAGTGGACTTGTCTGAAATGTTCCTACCCTTAGATGTAGTAGATGTAATAGACTCAATTTAATTACCTCAATGAAATAAAAGCACTCACATAATATGTGGTTAACCTCTTTGGTATAAAAAATAAACTAACATTTGCCCAAAATCTAATACAATATAATAGCATGATTAAGTGATAGAATATGGTGGTGTTATCTCTATCTATACATCTATTGGGGTGGGAAGTAAAACTACACAACAAAACAAACAAGAAATAGAAAATTGCAGTTGAAAGAAAAGAACGTCAGGATTTAACATAGAAAAACTTGAAACTGAAAAAACAATTACGGAGCCCCATCACACCAAGAAATCTACAATGAAAATTTGTAAGAATTAGTACATATCCCTTTTGTCTCTCACGCTCTCCATGTCTCTCTGCTCTCTAGCACCATTCTTACACAACAACCAAATGACAAAACCCTTAATGAAAAACGAGAAAGAAAATTGCTCTGTCCACTTCGTAGAGCAAAGTTGGAGCGTTGTAGCGCTCAATTCTCTGTCTTTTATCTGTATGACAGCGCCGGGGTATGGGGTAACACAATGTCGCCACGCCGAGTTTTGGAGCGCCGCAGCACTTCGCTCTCTGTCTTTCCTCTCAAGTACCTAAGGATCCACTTAACCAACTCCCAATAAAGTTTGCCTAGGTTACTCATAAATCTGTTGACTACTTCCACTGCATATGCTATGTCTTGTCTCATACAATCATAGCATATATCAAACTTCCAACTACTGAAGCATAACGAGTCCTCTCAATATATTCTTTCTATGCTTCATACTTAGGTGATTGTTTCTTAGATAGTTGAAAGTGACTACCCAAGAGAGTGCAAACTGACCTTGTCTCACTCATGGTGAATCTCTACATCACCTTTTCAACATACTCAGCTTGAGACAACTTCAATATACCTGCACTTCTATCTCTGCTTTGCTAGACCTAGATCTTTCAATTCAAATTTCATTGATAACTGCTTCTTCAAACATCTTATCTTCTAAATATCTAATCTTACAATCAACATGTCATCCACATACAAAAATAAAATAATATAGCAATCATCAAAACATTTAAAGAAACAATAGTGATCTGCCTAGAACTTCATGTACAGGAGCTTGGAGACAGACCAAACAGACAGGTAAACTGAAGTGTGAACAGGAGCTTGGAGACATACATGTGATGCTTTGCTTAAGAAACACCTAGGTTATGGGCTAAATGGTTGGCATGGGCAGAATACTAGTAAAACACTTTGTCCACTCAGTCTCCCAGATGACTCCTTTCAAAATGATGTATGAAAGAGAACCTCCACATTTAGCACATGTTGGGCAGAGTCACACACCAGTCTCTTCAGTAGAGCAGTACTTGGAGGAAAGGGCTTTGAGTTAAAAAAACACCTATTGAGGACTCAACGCATTATAAAGAAACGAGTATATGGGCACAGGAAGGACGTCAAATTCGCCATTGGGGATCGGGTGTTCATAAAGCTGCGACCCTACAGATAGAGGACAGTAGTCAGCAAAAGGAATGAGAAGCTAGCCCCGAGGTTCTTTAACTCTTATGAGATATTAGAGAGGATTGGAGTAGTGGCTTATCGCTTGAGATTACCCCTGATCGTTTTCATACACCCACTATTCCACATATTACAGTTGAGGAGAGCTGTTGGGAATCATGCAGCTAGCTCAGAATTATTGGGGACACTGATATAGGATTTGGAGGTGATTTTGGAACCATTGGAGCATGGGGGGGGGTGGGGGGACATCATGGAGAGGAGAGCCAACGAATTGTTGATTAAGTGGAAGAACCTACCTGACTAAGACACCACATGGGAGCCATATGAGAGGATAAAGCATCATTTTCACTCTTTCCACCTTGAGGCCAAAATGACTCTTTGGGAGGGGAGTATTGTTAGACCGGTCCCTAGACTAATCCAATCGGTCCAACCAAAACCGATTTGGGTCTATAGGAGGCGAAACAAGGGGGTTCCACCCCAGCCTAACCGCCCCCTTGAGGATGGGGTCCACAAGCCCAATTAAGGGGGAATTAAGGTGAGATTTAGGAGGGAAATTTCAAATATAGGGGGTTGTTTGGTAATTAGGGGGAATTAATGTTTGTTTAAGAGAAACAATTCTAGAGTTTGTTTTTCATCTCTTGTTTTGGCTGAAATTTGAGTTTTTGCTTAGGGTTTTTGAGCTTTAGATGCCGGTTAGAGATTTGAGAGAGAAGGATCCTCCTCTCCAATTGAGAATCCTATTGTATCTTGCTTTTCTTCACATCATCTTTCAATAAAAAAGTGTTGTGGGTGTTCTTTTTCTCAATTTTCTCTTATTCAACCGTTGTTTTTTATGAAAAGAGCCAATATTACCTATAATTTTCGCTTGTAAATTTCCTTCAATTTTCATTCCAACCAGCTTCCTCTTTTATATCCATTTCATTAATTTGCGCCAAAACAAACATATCCTAAATGATGCAAGGTCACTTGATCCAGCTTATTTTCTTTTTTACAATGAATTTACACGGCCTACTATAAAATTGAGAAGAGGATGTATATCATGCAAAATGCAAAAATAAAATTTGATGAACCAGCATGCCTGCCTGTATATATCAATGATTACGTAAAGACTTTTAAAGAAAATAAAATCAACTAGTTAATGATTTTTTTAAACAATATAATTAGAGTTAATAGTAACCTAGCAACCAAAAATGGATTGTGATAAATATTGAGCTTTGGCGTACCTCTCCATTAAATTTATCAGAAGTAGTTGGTGTTTGAGCGGAATTTTCCAGCTCAGCAGCCTTCCTTTTGGCAAGAGCCACAACACTCTCGGGGAAGTTAGCAAATTCAGCAACATGGATGCCAAAGCTTTGATCACAGGCACCAGGTTCTACCTGCAAATGAAAATAACCAAAGGAAGACGAGACACAAAGGAACCACAGTGTGCATAGGCTAACGAGATTCATATGAGGCATTCAATACTTAAGGAAGTTTGCAACTGAATCACTTAAGGATCATGAACCTTCGGGGAACTGGGACGTCAATTAAAATTAGAGAAGGCTACAAAGCTTTATTTGATTAATACTCATTCAAGCATCATACCCACGTATAAACAAATCCAAAGGCATTAATTCACAAAGAGAAACCATAAAACACTCGGGCCTCGTTTGTTTCGGCATTCTTTTACCTTTTCTGTTTAGAAATGTCAAAATTATTTTTTGGTCGCTGTTTTCTATAGAAATGCTATTTTAGGGAACTTCATTTTTCTACTATTTTGAGAAGCTTTTTGATATTTACTTCTCCGTTAGAAAACTTAATTTTCTTAATTAATGTTTCTAAAATTATCTTTTACAAAAGGAGAGGAAGAACCAAACGAAGCCTCAGTCATTTTCACCTCACTTGAGTTTGAGATGTACCTTATAAAGCATAGTTAATTTACGACTTGACGGATCTATGTGTGCCCCAACATGATAATTTGCCACTCCAACGGCTGCCATACCACTTGAATCATCAAATGTTCCATGGGACAATGCAGTCAGTTCGTGGAAGTGAGTAGCAAACAAGGTTGGAGCTCTAGTAACCTGCACAAGGTACTCACATATAGCCCATGCTAAACCTAAAGTAGAAAAAAGTATGCAGTCAACAATCAAATAATTTTAGTATCCAATCATCAAGAACAAAAACTTTCAATAATGCCCACAATTCATGAACATGTACAATATTGATTATAAGGCAGCATATTTAGAATATAAAAAAATTTCAGAAATTTGCATAAGTAGCCCACAATCAAATAGTTTAAGCAAGCAATCATCATTAATACAAACTAACTTTAATAATGCCCACCATTCATGAAAAGTACAATATTGATTATAAGGAAGCATATTTAGAATGAAAATAAATTCCAGAAATGCCCATAAGTAGCATAGATTAAGCTTGAAGGCAAAAGAGGCCGTAAGCCAAAAAATCAACGCAACAAAACTTATACAGCCAAAACAAGAACAAATATGTTCACAAACAGTGATAAACAACAAGAAAAGATGATTCAAATAAAAAGGCTATGGGCATGACAAACAAGAAATTAATCAGGATAAAGTTGATAATTAAGTTCCAGCAATGGCCATAAATAACATAAGATTTAGCATGATAAACACAAACGAGGCTATATACCAAAAATGTACCTAACAGAACTTATACAGCCAAAACAAGATCAATTATGTCCACAAACCTTGACAAAGGAAAAGAAAATCCAAATCAAAAGGTTACGGGCTTGTTAAACAAGACATTTATCTTGAGAAGGCTGAGCAAGAGCTAGTTTCAAATGAGATAATACTATATGCTAACAGCAAAAAATAACTAATGCCGTCAGAAGTTCACATAAATTTTAAAATCATTAATATGGGTAACCACAAGTTCATCTGCATCCTTTGCAAGAAATTATGAAACTATGAATATAATGGACGGGGATTGAAATAGGGCCAACTACAGAAATAGTCAAACTAATTTTCAACCCAAAAAATTTATCCCATGGAGAGGGCATACCATTTGATATTTCTACAACTATTTAATTTGTGGGACTACACAGAGGCACTCGTACCACAACTTCACTCACAAGAAAGCCTATGAAGCATGAATATCAACATGAGATGCAGGACATCACGACATAAGTGTTAAAAACTAGGACATGTTATGTCATGGGCACATTATTCTCATTTATAAATTATTAAGATAAAATATATAATTTAAACAAATACTACTATTTTCTATTTAAAGTATTGCTTATTCTCTTTCTAAAAATAAAAATACATAAGATTATCCAAATATCTTCTTTAATTGAGTGAAAAGAATAAAAATAAAAAATAAAATGAAAACAAAACAAAGTAAAGACGTTATATAAGTCAGTCAAAAAAAAAATCTTTCAAACGCACCAAATCCATCATAAGTAGATGTGCCACGGCCCAACTCATCAATTATTATGAGTGACTTCTCTGTTGCGCCTTTCAAGATAGAGGCAGTTTCAAGCATTTCTTGCATGAAGGTTGAAACACCACGGAGCTGCAAAACCAAAAGAGAAATAGTCCATAATAATCCAGAAGATAGAAATCGAAACATACTGTTTTGCTAGGGTATGGAGAACCTTGATTGAGCATAAATCGGTTAGAAAATGCACGAAAACATAGAAAAGGAAAAAAAATAAAGTCCAATAATAAAGGGCATCATGTTACTTTAGTTTACTAATAAAAAACTGGATTATGTAAGAATCCAGGGCTTTCTGTGAAATTTCTATGCATAGGTAGCGTCTAATCCATTTACTCACATTTCTCTGTTTTAAGAAAGAAAAACAAAAATCATGGAGATCTATAAACGTACTCTCAAAAAATATTTTTTGTTAATATTCTTTAGATGCTCCCATCTAATCCAAGAACAATGATTTACTTTATTTTTTAATATTTTGTCTCTTCATCTTAAAGTCCAAAATTAATAAGCGATGTTGCGTGCATAAACTTTTACTCATAATAACTTTACAATCTAAACTACTCTTTTTTATAAGAAAATAATCAATCTAAAGTTTACTATACCCATTCTTATAAGTGATGAGATGCTAATATTTTTTTCTTAAATAAGATATTAGCAATTACAAAATCATAAGTTAAAGAAAAATCTAATATGAACTTTACACCTTCATTAGTCGCTCCAAAATCATAGCCACCATGTATGTTTTTAAAATTATATATCTCTCTACCAACATGTTCATTTAAATCTACTCCAATAAAAATCATTTGTATTAATCCTTCTAGGTCATTCTAAAATTTTAATCTTGAACAGATTAATAATCTTAACATAAGCACTTGTTATATTAATAATCTTAGCATCAATAACAATTTTTAAATCTATAATTATATCTCTAATTCTATTAATTTTTACAACATTATCCTCCAAACTCTTATCTATAATCACGCCTATATTATTTATAGTACTCCTACCAAAATACTGTCAAACTGATCCCCAGCGGAGCGGTCCAATTACAAACGGTCCCTAGGGGACCGATTCATGTTTACTATAGGAGGGCGGCAAAGAGAGAGGGAGAGGAGTGGGGTCCACCAAAACTTCAAATTCAAACTCTTAGGAGGGAGAGGAGGGGGCGGCAAGGGCTCCTTAATCATTTAACTTGATTAATTAATTGTATATTTTAAGTAGAATGAGGGAATTAGAGTTAGGGTTTTGTTTTGGTTATTTTGTTCTTGTGAGGGTTCTTCTTGATGTCTTGGGCTCTAAACTCATCTAGATATTGGGAGAGAACGATCCTCCTCTCGAATTGAGGATCAATTGTATCTTTGTTTTTGTTACTTCCGTTAGTTCTCTCTTTTGCAATCCAATTACAATTCGGAGACTTTTCTACCAGATTTTGTGTGATTCTATTGTTGTTTTTCTCAATTCTTGTTAGGGTTTGAAATATTCAAGTATTTCATATCCAATATCATAGTTTAAATCCTAAATTATCAATCTCCTTAGCCTTCTCTCCAGCCTATTTAGTTTCCTGAATGCAAAGAATATTTATCTTCCTATGGATCATAATATCTATTAATTCCATTAATTTGCCTATAAGGGAACCTATATTCCATGTTCCTATCTTAATTTTAATTTCATTAACTAGCTTATTTCCCCACATCCGTCTCTAATGTGGGAACCCTTGTCTTTTTAACACTGCACCCGGGCGCCGGTGCAATGACCCTTGCTGACTTGTCATTGTATTCAGGCCATACAACGCATTGCTTCCAAGGAACGCCCCAGCATTGATTGATTCATATCATGATTATTCGATAAGTTTTATGCTGGTTGTCGACTACCTAATGTAATCCTCCACTATTTTCATTCATGACTTATTACCTAGCTAAGAGAAGCCAATGATATACATTTTTATTGGTTGGTGCTAATTGCTGTATTTTAAAGTAGATGGGACATATATCTATTTCTCCTTAGAGTTATTAAGATATATTTCAATTTTAGAGCTTACAATAGGTAATCCCTAATGTACCAACTTTATGGAGGAATAATTTTCTCTACCTATTCAAGAGACTAGGCATTTACAACCAATATTTGGATATATAGTAAATAGTCTTTTAAAAAAATTTAAAATGGTCATCCTGCATTACTAATGATATGCTTGAACGCTCATCCCCCCCTCCCCCCCCCCAGGGATGAAAATCATATCAAATCACAAGCCCACGGCCAAATGTAAATGTAACGATCAGTTGCAATTAATCAGATTCAGATATTATAGTAGTTATATCGAAGGGAGGGAGTTGAATCATTGTCTTTTCTTCACCGGTAAGAACAATCACATGGCATAAAGTCAACAAGACAAACAAATATCCTAGGTCAAAAACACTTACTTGGCAATCACCAGCACCAACACGAGCAAAGATACAATCACGAACGCTTACGCTTGCCCTCTCACATGGAACAAAGCATCCAATTTGTGCCATCAACACATTCACGCCAACCTGCCATTGAGGATATGCAAGGAAAAAAACCATGAAAATACGTGAAATATTGCAGGATACAGAAAAGGTAATTACAAAGACTGGAGGATCAATTTTATATAAAATCTAGAAAATTTAAGAATGTGAAAATTTTAAACCTAAGTTTCTCAACCAACTTTTCACAATAAAAAAAGGAACAGGAATAGCATAGCATATCATTGATTTCAGAAGTCAAGCATAATTTCTAAGGAACTCGTCTAATGGGACTTGCAATACCAATGTTATATAAAAAAAGTTTAGAAGTATTATGAGATAAAAGGAGGCAGCAAATCTGTGATTCTGAAATTAATCACACCTGTGGAAGCCAAAAAAAGAAAAAACAAACCTGTCGTATAAATGTAGATTTTCCTCCCATATTAGGACCAGTAATAATCTGCAACCAACTCTTACCTCGAACCTGCACTGCCATTAAAAAGTTTAAAACAACCACCAGTCTTTCTAGAAAAGATAAATCAGAAGTTACTTACAAGATTGCAATCATTAGGTATAAAATTCACACCATCCTGCGCCTCTACACAAGGATGTCTGCAGCCTTCTAATATGATATCTCCTTCATCCTAGAAATTGGTGAAGTAAACAATAGTTCTTCCACGTCACAATCAAGCAAACATAACAGACACATTATTTATTAAAGTATAAAATCTTACAGATCCTGTGATCTCCGGTCTCACATATGGAACAGGGGAGCTAACAGTAAGATCAGCGAAACTGAGCAACACATCTAGCTCAGAAAGAAGCCTAGCTGAATCTTCAAAAATCTAAAGAAAACTTTATTGAAACTGTGAAAAAATAATTCCATAGAAAAAGCAGAGGAAAATGTTCAAGAACATCTGTTTTACCATTGAAAAGGTAGCAGAAGTGTCAACAACGCGTAAAACTAAATCTTTTTGCCGACTTGTATACTCATTGAGTATCTTTTGATACTGATCTCCAAGTTTTTTAAGTTTTGTATTTGTAAATTTAACTCCATCCTTACGAGTTTCAAGGACAATAAAGTGGGTATTTAAAGTTTTCCTCACTTTCTGTTCTTCTTTCTTGGTGATCCTAAATACATGTCCAAATTGACTCCCTTTTTCCAACTTTAAAAACTTGTCAATAGAAAGATCAAGATCATTGGCTGTTTCTTTGTGCAGGTTGTATATTTGTTGCTCAACTGCATCAAGCTTATCTTTCAATAATGCTAATGCTTCATCATACCCAGGTGATATCATATATTCACCACTCTCAATGTGATTAACATCAACAGCTGTATCAACAAGATCAATAAACATATTCAGCTGATCCTTACCCAACCAATGTTGTAGAGGACAGATATATTTCTTTCTTATCAAAGGAGAAAACTGTCCTTCATAATGCTCAAGGGCACTTTTAATGTATGGTAACCTGTTGCATGCCTGTAGATGAGTCAAAATGAATCAATTAATCAAAGGAATAATATAGTTGAAGCTGATGGAACAATGTCTACAGAAAAAAAAAAAATAAACACACTACTTACAATTAATTAAAATAGCACAAAACGTTCTGAATGTTAGTCCAAGATCCTTAATTGTCAATTAAGGATTTTAATGATTGTTGCATGGAGGAAGTTGCTTTATGACAATGGAGTGAACAAATGAAGTCTAAAACTATCTTCAATAGGCTTAAAACTATTATAACTAAACTTGTTGATGCCTCCTCCAGCATCTTATGTCTAATAGAAGCACTACTGATTGTATGGTGACAACTTATGAACTTATTCATTCCATCCTAACTCCTAAAAATAAAATATGAAATCTTTATATTAAAGTTGATTTTGATAAATGTGTTGTTGTGATGTAATTTCATGACATCCAAATCTTCAGAACAGATTCTCCTCCTAGATCCATTTTGCATGCCAACCCTCTTCTTGTCAATGGCAATCCGAGTCCTCGGTTTAGTTGCATAGAGGGCTTTGTCAAGATGACCCTCTCTCACATTTTAATTTGAACATTATGGAAAACATCTTGCACAAAATGCTCATGGTTAATGATTATAATAATTGGATTAATGGTTGTCATATAAGCAAGGAATCTCTGCCAATTAACAGCATTAAATTTGTTGGTGGCACCCTTCTCATATGTGGAATGTGATGCAACCACATTACAATTGGTTAACTAAAACATATTCTTCAACTATTTAGCAAAATTGTTTACCTTAATATAGACTTTAATAAGTCATCTTTAATATAAATTGAAGAAATCTCCCATTATGCTTGTTATCTTGTCAAGATCTAAACTCTTTCTTTTAAATATCTTGAAATCCCATTTAGTTCCAAATCGGCAAATCCAAAAATCTTTATGGAACCTCACCATTAAAACTAGGGGTGTCAATTTTTGACATGACCCGAAACCCGACCCGAACCTGACCTGAAAAAATCCGGGTTCGAGTCGACCCTATTAGCAAATGGGTCGGGTTCGGGTTCAAATATTTGACCTGATTTGAGTTTCAGGTCGGGTTCGGGTCAACCTGACAACCCGACATTGACCCGAGCTCAACCCGATATCTCATTAATATTACGGACTTAACCATGCGGCACAGCGGCTTTCGAGTTTGGCTTTCCTCTTTTCTTTTTCCTTCGCTCTTGCCCTTGTTTTCATCAAAGTGACGAGGAAGAAGATCGTTGTCGTCGAGAAGGAGAAGCGTCGCCGCCTGCGAAGGCTCAACAAGCCGGCCTTGAATAATGAATAGCATACAGGTCTCTCTTTCTAACCTCCTCTCTTCTCCATTCTTTCTAATGAAAGGTTTTGCTTGCTTTTTCAGTTTTTCCCTTACTAATTTGAGCCGACACTTTTATACATATTTTCTTAGAAAAGATCAAAGATTCCCTTATAGATTTTGAAAGTTTGTCTTCTTTTTTTTTTCTATATTAAACGTGATTGCTGGCTTATTCTTGCATTTTTCTTATCATGGAGACGTTGGGGCTTCCCGGCTTCCCCTCTTCCATCTTACATTTGGGTTCAAAAAATGAATGTTTAGGGCTCATTTGATGTTTGTAGAGGAAATGGAGGCTGTGGTGATGGCTGCAGCCGCAATAGCTACGATCAATTTGGCTGCATAGGCGCACGAACTTCATCGATTTCGGGGAATTACGGGTCGGGTCGGATTGACCCGAACATGAATCGGGTTGAGTTTGGTTTAGGAAAAGTGACCTGAAACTTGAATCGGGTCGGGTTTGGGTCGGGTCAAAAACTGTAGGGTCAAAGTTGGGTTTGACCCAAACCCAACCCGTCGACACAAATTGACACCCCTAATTAAAACTATCTAGAAAAAGCTTTCAAGCTTTAAAGATAGATTTCTTTCTCAAGGTGGAAGGTTAACTCTTATAAAACCTAATATTTTTTTTTATATTTCCCTACTCTTTTTTATTATTTTTTTATATTTCCCTGGGTGATTAGTATAAAAAAATGACTCAATCAAGAAAAAATTCTTCTGGAGGGGCATTGCTAATGATAGGTGTATTCATCAAGTCAACTGGAACAAAATATGCATTTCTAAAAAAGTATAAAAAGGTCTTAGCCTCATTTCCTAAAATCTTAACATTTTCCTTATCACCAAATTGGATTGAAAAACTAATAATTATAATTTTTCTTTCGCTTGCAACATCTCAAGGAGAGATTTTAAAATTAAGGATCCAACAAATTTATCGAGAAAGTGGTCTCTAACTTGCCATTGCTTCAATAAAGGGATTAGGAAAACAATTCAACCACTCCTACGACTTGGCAGGTCAACAACTGCAGCTCATATAGATTTTTGAAGGATAAATGGCTTCTAAATATTCCTGACAATTGCTTTCAATAATCTCTTCCGATTAGCTTGGAATCCTAATTGTGAAGTTCTATCTCAATTTCTGCCTTCATGTGGTTGGAGAATTCACTAGCACTGGGTTATTTCTTTAGACCTGTCAATTTCGGGTTACGGGTCGGGTTCGGGTCAACCCGAAATTGACCCGGTATTATTCGGGTTCGGGTCGACCCGACCCGTTTTTTCAATTGAAGGAAGAGATCAATAATTTATACCCTCCCAAATCCAATTTCTATTAACACTAACAATTAATTTGCCTTGTTTGGGTTCTCAAGAAAGAAATTTTCAGAGTGAAATCCTTCAATTATTTTATCATTAATGGTGTAATTTCAACAACCAACCATATATGTACTTTGAAGTTAGCTAAACTTAAGGATTCCACTTTAGCCTGGAAGTTTTTTCTTAAAAAAAGTTAATCAAATCATTTAAGATAAATTTGGTATTTTTTAATGCTTACTACATGTGTAATCTTCAATCAAAAACATTTCCTCATATCTTATGTTCCACTAAATAGTAGAAACATCTAGGGATGTTGATAGATCGATCCCTCCTGGACTGGTCATTGCTCAGTCAATCCAAACCAGCCATTGTTTACCCTAGGCGGAAGCCTGGACGGCCTCAGCAACAATCTGCCCCCCTTAGGGTGGGGCATAGGAGTTAATGCAAAGGGAGGAGGGATCAGTATGAGGGAAATTCAAATTGGGAGGGCTGGTTTGGGTATTTTGCTAGAAATTGTATGCCCTTAAATAGTTTTGTTTAACCTAGGGTTGGGGGATTCTTATGTTTTACTGAAATTTGAAGTTTTTAGGTTGTGAGGCCCCTAGCCGATGACTAGGGATTTTGGGATAGTCAATCTTTCTCTCCAATTGAAGATCCAACTGCATATTGTTATTTTCATACTTGCAATCAAAAGATTTGTGGTGTGTTCTTCTTCCCAATTTCTTCCTACGGTTCGTTGATTTGGTTGAAGGTGCATCTACTTTCTATCAAATTGGTATCAAATCATTGTCCTGAGCTGAAATATAGCATGTCCTTGCTGATTTCTGCTGTGTTTTCCCCTTCGTAATGCTGATTTCTATTGTTTGAAGGCCAAAATTACTGTTTTTTGTTGTTTGGCCAAGATTTGGGTACCTATGATGGCTAAGAAAATTGATGCCTTGAAAGAACATTTTGGAGGAGAGATGAACCAAATCAAAGCAATGGTTGAGGACAGAATTTTATCAATGAAGGATAAGTTCTCCAACCCATAAGACATGGTGAAGAAGGTGTTGGGCATCAGAGGAAAGAGTTACGATAGGAGGAAATACAAATTATGGCAGCCAGAGGGATGATCACAATGAGGAGATCTTGGAGGTAGAAGAGAGAAGACATCCTCTAAAGCCTATTCATAAGGAGGAGATAGATATAAGGTAGTGACATCCTTACACAGAAGTGATTGTGGCAATAGCATTCATCAAAGGTGTAGTCAGACTGCAAGGGATACCAGAGTCTATAGTGTCCGACCGATATAAGATGTTCATCAGTCATTTTGGAGTGAGTTGTTCAGGCTGCAGGGGACAGTGCTGAAGAGGAGCACCGCTGACCACCCCAAGACGGACGGGCAGACGAATGAGGTAAACACCCAGAAAAGTACCTGCGATGTTTTGCTTTCGAGACACCTCGGTTGTGGGTAAAGTGGTTGGCATGGGCAGAGTATTGGTAGAACACTTCGTACCATTCAGCTTTCTAGATTACTCCCTTAACAATGTTGTACAGATGAGGTCGACCTCACTAGGTGCACTTTGGGCAGATTAGCAAATTAGAATCCTAAGTAGAGCAATACATGGAGGAGAAGGGTAGGGTATTGGATGAATTAAAAAAAAAAAAAAACATTTGTTGAGGACTCAACAGATCATGAAAAAGCAGGTGCATTGGTGCAAGAAGGACATCCAATTTGATGCAGGGGATAGGGTATACTTGAAGCTTCGTCCCTACAGACAAAGGAAAGTAACTAACAGGAGGAATAAGAAGCTGACCCCAAAATACTTTGGCCCTTATGAGATATTGGATAGGATTGAAGCAGTGGCTTATTGATTGAGGTTACCGCCGACCACTACCATACACACAGTGTGTCACACCCTGTCCGGAAGGCAAACACCCCGGCAACGTGAGACATGATGAAAGGATATGAAGATTTGTTTTGTATTCACAAAGAGAAATATGCATATACAAATGGTACAACAAGATATATATACACTAGAGTAAACAAAGGAAATGAACTAACGAGCCAATTCATTAACAAAATGCCTATGATTATAACATCCAAATAGCAATAGTTTTGATATAAGCCAAAAGGGATGTAAATAGAACAAGAAACAATAAAGAAACTACCCAATCCTCAATCAAAAGCAAAATAAACTATTACGAGGACCTTTGCTAGCGATTGCCAAAATTTTCTTCGCTTTCTTCTTTTTTTATGCCTGCAAATCACCCTCGCTCCCTGGTCGTTTGGAATGAATTTTTGAAGGTTGGGGGACTGCCTCTGGAACTTCCACGATCTCTGAAAAGTATGACTAGTCCCACTATGATCGACATGGCCCTAAAAGAAAGTTGAGATAAAGTCACTCTGCATATCGTCAAAATATCAATCAATTCGGGTGATGGTGGAAACCATAGCCCCGCTCGCAAACTAAATTCATACACTGTTGCATATCCCGGGGGAGGATAATGGGCACGATCAGATCTTGTCGGCACCTTCATCACCAGATCATTAAGAAAGTGGAAGTTTTTCCTAAAAGAGATGAAAGAATCTTCAGTGATTGTGAAGATAACATCATCAGTCTTCGGCGCCTAGTGAGTCTTCTTTGAACCCTCAGATCGACCAAATGGGCGATCTTTGGCGGGGGATTTCTGGCAGATATGTGATCACCCATTTCAACTTCGATACTAAAGAGGAGCGCTAAATTTGAGTAGAAAAAGTCACCTACGAAAGTTAGCAGAAAGCCTCTAGAGCAAGAAGAAAAATGGGTAGAAAGAGAGAAAAAGAGAGGAAATCTCCAACTTCTGTACAATAGGAGGACCATTGGGTCAAGTAGGGAAAGTCACCTACAGAAAAATAGCGGAAAACCTCAATTGTCAGAAAGCAAGGAGAAAAGGAGAATGTGCAAGTTTCCCCCTGGCACTGGGGGCTATTTATAATGTTTTCGAGGGAAGAAAAGAAGTTTCCATATTTGTCTGGAATTTTCGGAATTTTTCAAAATTTTCTGATTTTTTTGGAATTAAAAAATAATATATTTTATTCAAAAAATCCATCAACGGCGATCGGTCAGCCGGATCAACTACCCACTCGATTTCGGGTCCAATATTTGCCCCGAAAATGACAAATCGAACCTTTTTGGGGTCCCCGGGACCATTTTTTAACATTTCGGACTCAATTTCGGCACTTTTAAAGCCATTTGAGGCTCCTACATGCAAGATCGGATTTTGAATCACATGGAAAATTCTCCAAAATTTGTGATGCATATATTCGGTCTCCTGGAGCTTTGACGTCCAAAAATAGGGGCCAACTGATATATAATCAAAAAATTATCTTAATCGGGCATGAATCTCGAGGCAAATCCAAGCCGAAAACTTCAAAACTTAAATTCGGCAACACCTGAACTCCGATTTTAGCGAACTTACAGTCAAACTGAGCGTCTCGGAAATTCGAACTCAATGACACCAAAATCAACTCAATCTGAGCCCAAATGAGTCTAAATCAAGCACCTGGAGCGCTATTGCAAAGATCAAACCACAATTTGAGTTATCAAACGATTTTCAAATATGACGTTATTATAATCAAATCGAGCGGGCTCGACGAGACGAATCCAACGAGCCCAAGATCGTTGAATTTCGACATCATTAAGACCTTCAAATGTCTGGTGAACGGTACATGATCAAGGGATTCAATATCGGCCGTCTATCCGACCACTCCCTATTTACCCCTGATCTCTCACCTATTTACAAGTCATGCCACTCCATAACATCTATAAATAGATCACTCATTTCTCATGAGAGGGGGCCAAGAAAGAAGAAGAAGAGAAGAAGGAGAAGAGAAGAAGATTAGAAGGAAAGAAACTCTTCGACCACCGACGCCAGAATTTTGCCCGACGCTCGATCGACGCCGGAATTCTGCCCGACGCTCGATCGACGCCGAAATTATGTCCGACGCCCAAGTGATGCCAGAATTCTATCCGACGCCCCAAGTGACGCCAGAATTTTGCTTGACGCCCGAGTGAAGCTGGAACTCTGCCCGATTCCCAAGTAACGCCGGAATTTTAAGTGACTCTGAATTCAGCTCAAATACGCAACTTGTTTGTATTCAGATTTCAATTCGGAAGTGAAGCATTGTAATCTGATCGTCCCAAATTTTAAGGACGAGTCAGCCTCTTGTACCTCAAACAAACACTAGTGGAATTATTTCAACTGGGTGTGGCCCTGTGGTTATTTCCCTTTCCAGGGTTTTCACGTAAAAATCATGGTGTTATTTCTCTCATGTTTGTGTGCTAGATATCCGTACAACGCTGAGACGAAAAAAAATTTAATTCTATCGCCGCGTATATTCTAGCCCGCAACAAGGCTAGAGGGGGTTATAGATGGAAGCACCTCCAAGTTTTAGAGGGATTACGATAGATTGTTCCTTGACAGATGGAAAAGGATGGATTTTATGACCTTGTTCCACCAACATATCTACAAAGGGCTTGCATAATGGAGAGAGTCCCAAGGGGAGAAATACAAAATAAATGCAAACATATGAAGTTTGAAGGAACTTAACCAACACACAATGATTTGCATAGCCCAATCACCCTTCCTGAGTTGCGCTAGAACCTTTCAATAGCCTGCATACTCTACAATATCAAGGCTAACTCCTAGAAGCGTGAAATGACAGGATATCAACAACATCAAAGAGTTTCATATAAAGCTTGCATATTCATACATTCAAATTGGCAAATTGAATAACTACTAACGAAATCCATGGCATGGGCAAAATATGAAATGAATCTGTAACGGTAGAAGAAGTCATATGAATTGGCTCATTCAAACACTAGAATTTTCAAGTTGTGATACTTCTATAGAAGACTAAAAGTCCGTATTATATAAAAAAACAAGAATTTTTTTTTTAAATGGTAGTAAACTTAATTGGGGGTATGTTTCTTAAAGGTAAAAATGTAAATTTAAGGCCTCCACGAGTACCTGGTATAGTTTAATGACTGGTGACAAGTTAGCTGCTCTCTTCCTAAGGTTATGCGTCAAGCGCTCAATATCTGGCATCCTCTTCAATTGTTGCCTCAATGTTTGGCGTAACTCTACATCATCCACAAATGTCTGAACCATATCCAATCTAAAATTGACTTCATCCACGTCAAGAAGAGGTTGTTTGAGCCACCTGTTTAGTAATCTCTTGCCCATTCCAGCAGTACACGTTCTATTCATCAGACCAAGCAAACTAAAATTTTTATTTGCATCTGTTTTGCTTTCTAGAATATTCAAAGCCCTAATGGCGGCAGAATCTAATCGCATGTATCTATCTAGACTGTACTTTTGGATGGTATAATTACCATAGTTGCAGTCATCTGCAAGAAGATCCACGTAAGAAAGTAATGCCCCAAGTGCACTCAAAGCGAGTTGGAATTCAGAAAGTAGTTCTCGCACTGGTTCTATTGAGCCTCTTATTATTCTGCTGAGGTCCTGGACTAGATCTCGTGACTTGAACTCAGTTTTCTTCCGCTCAGTCAGAAGAACACCACATCTACTCAGTACATCATGTAGATTCTTGAATTCTATCGACTTTCCACTTTCCATGGGGAGAAGACACTCTTTGCATCCAAGAGCAACTAAAACTGATTCTACGTTTGTGAATTGACTGTCATCAAGAAATTCTGCTAAACCAAGCTTTTGATTAGTCAAATCAACATAACTTAGGCCAACAGTGCACTGATTTTCACGTAAGCTAGGAAACAAAGCAATTGTGACCGGAGCATCCTGCATATCATTGTTGGCAAACAGGACATCTTCAAAAGAACCAATATTACCAGGAGTGCCAGCTTTAGTCAACCTCCAGTTAGATCCACTGCCCTCATAGACTTCGATTGTATGATCTGTTCTATCAAGTAAAAGATCGCGAGCAATGTTTTCAAACATATTTCTGCTCACACTGACGCTGGAAATACCATCATTAGCATTACCAAGTTGTCTAAGGGCAGTGGTGGTGCGGTAATATGTCTTTGCGATGAAGCTGGCATTTTCACCATGGACAGTATAATAATCCTGATCAAAAGTAAAATAAGTGAAACACATAATTCAGGATACTATGTCTATCAGAACACTTAAAAGTGGTAAACTTTGACATTACAGGATAAATATTCAAAGACATTATCCACACAAATGAGATGTTTAGTTTTAAATTTAAGATTCAACACAGCTTAAACGTTATAATAGCAACAGAAATGTCAGATTTTTCAAGGCACCCATGATAACTATAAAAAAAACGACCATTTCAATTGGCATTAGAATAAGGTACAGGCCATAAAAATATCCAAACATAACTCGGCACCTGTCCAAAGTATCAAGTACAACTTAAAAAATGTCATGTGCATCATGGACAAGACATATCAATTTTTATTCAACCAAAATAAACTCTTAGGGAGGTTGGTTCAAAAAAGTACTTAACTGGCCTTGCACGAAGCGATCATCCACTTTTCAAGTTAAAATCTTAAAAGCTATATCACTTCTTATCTAACATAGCTAACCCTGGTTTACCTAAACCATAAAGTGAGAAATTTATGGGGTTTTAGTAAGCTTAGCATGGTTGATAGGAATAGAAGTTCATCTTTGAAAATATATCAATGTATTAGGAATAAAAGGCAAACTTAGCTGATATAGTAAACTTATATGCATTAAGTACTTAATAAGGGTACTTCGTGATGTGGACATCCAACCGTCCATGCCTATCCAAGGAGGAGCTGAAGATCGACGGCTGTCATTGTCCCACGTTATCTTAAATTTTATTCGTAATTTTTCTTTTTATTATGAATTTTTCGTTTTTACCCTCACTTAAAAGGGTCGTCCTATGTAAGTCCTAGGGGCATATGTGTCTTGTTTTAGTTTCTTAGTCCTATATATATAAGCACTTGCTTGTGTAATATAATGATGGATTATTAATAAAAAAAAAAAGAATTGGAGCCTTTGTCTTGATCGCTGTGTGAGTTATGGAGAAGAAAAGTCATATGGGAGGACAACCTTGTTTCCACCAAACGTAGGATGGAATGATGGATCCAGGCTTCTGGATTGAAGTCCCTCGGGGAGGGCAATGTAGTACCCACCAACCGCAGGAAGAGTCTGGGCTCGTGATTTGTATCATTTTTATTTTATTTTTTCTTTGCTCTCCGTCCTCTCATCTCTAGTCTCCACCATTCACCATCTGTTTTTTCTTTATTTCTTTTGATTTTGGCTAACTTTTCTTTTGGATCAAACGTCAACCCCTCCACCTCCATAGTCGGCCGACCACCTCACCCCAAGCCTCTTCCCTCCTCCACAAATATTGAATTTTAAATTCAAAATAGCCTCTTTATTACCTTCCTAAATTAATCTATTGTTAACTTGAAAAGTTCCTAATTTGAATTCAAAGATATTTAAATTTCAAATCATTTCTGAATTAAGTAATTAACAAATCTATTTTTGGCAGCCTTCCCCTAATTCCTCTAAATCTGAAATAGATTTCATATTTAATATCAAATCTCATTTAATGTCATGGGCCACATACATCATACATGGACATCTCTCCCCCTCCTCCTTTGGCCGCCCCCCTTTTCCCTCACATATTAATTAATTCCCATCAATTAATGCTCTCAATCAAATCCTTTCCCTCTAAAATTTATTCTTTCTTAAATTAAGTTGTTCTAATTTTGGTAAGTTTTCGAATTCAAATTCAAACGAATTTGAAATTTCAAATTCTTTCATAAATCATTCAGCTTAATTTTGGAAAGCCTTCCTTCAATTAAGGATTGGGTAAATCAGAAATTAATTGGGAATCCATTCAAATTCCACATTCATTGAACCTGGATCCCCTTTCCCTCTCTCTTTGGCCGACCCCTTCCCTCCCTTTTCCAATTAATTTGAAAATTCTAAATTCATATGACCCCCCCTTCGTTCTACATCACTTCGTGATTATTATTATTAGCTAAGATAATTAATTTACTTTTAATATTTAATCTGCTAGTTGTATTTCTTATAATCACTTGATAAACGAGCCATTAATTAGACCCCTAATTGTAGTTAAACACCTCGTGGTTTGGCTATAAGTTCATATTGTACAATGAATCAAAAGACAATTTTTATAATTTAAGAAAAATTATAGTCAAGTTGCTAAATAAACAATAAAATATAAAATAAGCATTAGGGTCTTGAATAAACTATTCGTGAGGGCAAATATTAATGAATAACTTTTTTTTAGCATGGATTAATAAATTGAATAGGATAGTAAACAAACATCAATTGTGGTTAAGATTATTAAGTTAACCAACATGACTAATTAGATTCTTAATAGCTAGGAAATTTACATGCAAAAAATATTAATTATTAATTAATAGATCAATAACCATTAATAAAGATGTTATTCAATAAGTTAGAGATAAACAAGCAACTAAGCAACAATGTTTAATTGAATTTTACCTGCTGATAACTATATAGCAAAAAATAATAGCATGTCATATTAAAGATAAAATTAAAAAATAAAATAAAAATGACTAATCATTAATAAACAAATGATTAAGTTGGCAAGTAAATCGTTTTTATAGAGCAATTTCACCGTAAAATTAAAGTGTGTGTGAGTTGGATGTGTATTTGTGCAATATGCATGGAGTGCACAAACTGCATGTATTTCGTGCATATATGAGCTTGTGTTTGTTGAGGTGGGAAATAGAGAACATGAGATAAGACAATTGGGTCAAAAGACTATGGTTGGAAATTTTTATGGCGGATTGAGGTTTTTAGGAGTTTATTTTAAAACAATAATTGATGTGTGAGGGACATGAGTGAGGTGCGGGGAAAGTTTCAGCTAAGGAAGAGAAAGTATGCCAAAGTTAGAGCAAGAGAGCAAATGATATTTTCAACTAAACAAATAGAGGAAGCTAGTTTATTAGTGGAAAGGAAAAAAAAAATGTCAATATATTATATTATTCTTTAGTTTTAATGCTTAAAATAATATCCTTAATATTAGTTGTAAGTCAATATTAATAAATAAGATAAAAATATATCATTAAATATACCTGAGATTAATATAACTCAAGTAAGGAACAATTAAAATATATTGTTATTCTTTATTGATGTCCACTATTACTAGAGGTATGAATGACTAAGAAATACACACAAAAATATTAGTAAGGTATTTCATATCATGTTTAGGTTGAGGAAAAGGAATGATCAACTAAGTACTTAAAATCAAGAGGGAAGTGTTTGACCATCCAAGCAAGTTGGAGTAGGCCTAACGTAGCTCGGGCATAACAAGCTCTAGTGTAGCCCTAGTACAATCAACTAATGTGGCCTTTGCTTGGTCAACCAAAAGCCTAGTAGCTCAATCATAAGGATGGATTGAACCCACACGGTCTCATTGCCTCCTATATCATTACCCTCTAGCTATGAAGTCCTATAGCTTAAACCAAATGTAAGAGAATTATTCATAATGTATGAGGTTTGCAAACAAACATGATGTGATTTAGCTTATCATGTTTCTTTCTAAGGATAGGAAGAGGCAAAAGCCTGGCTTAGCTTAGCGTCAAGAAAATAATGGTGATTGGCTCGCTCAACTTGAACTTGCTTTTGTTTAAATTGCGCTCGAACCAAGAAAACCACAAAGTTCATAGTTCATTTATAACATATTTTCAAATCTCAATATGAAATGGACATGATATTCTTATATGTCTTAGCAAGAAAACTTGATAGATCTTTGGCTTTAAGGATATAGAAGACATGTATTAGATATTTTACATGTTACATAGGAAAGGGGAAAACTTTAAACAATTAGTAACCAACTCAACAGAGGAAGACAACATCGACTTACCAAAAATATTACCAAATAAATAACGGAAGCGAGAACCTTATTCAACAAAGAAAGACAGCGTTAACCTACGGCCCATATTAACAAAGAAACAGCATATGGACAAGAAAATGCATGAATGGTGCATTAGAATTCAAGAAGCTAGAAACACGAGCAGTTTTTCATCTAACGGAAGCGCAATAGTTCTATATGGCTCAGTAATTGCAAAAGAAAAAAAAAAAACTTTTCTTCCCCGTGTACTTAACTTAGCACATCGATAATGCATCCGGTATCCGAAGCGAAAAAGACCTAATTCAAGTTTTATACGAGAGAAAGCAACCGCGCTCACCTTGCGATCAAAGAAGCGCACAGCCCTAGCATCCTGCAATAATAAACAAGCTTCAGAAACATTGATCATACGAGTCATAAGATTTGGGCTTAGGGTTTATGACTTAGTAAAGGGAAGCAGCTTTGCGTACATTCGGTAGGGTTTTGAAGAAGGAAATAAACCCCTGGGCTTGCCTAGCATCTGAAAACGAAGAAGTTAGAGGGTGGAAAAAGGGGATTTTGCGACGAAGGATCAAAAAGGAAGATTCATCGATTGCTCGCAGTGCAATACCTAGTTTGAGATCGGGTAACAACTTGCCGTTGTTATCAGGTGAGTGCTCTTCGTCCATTCCCTCCTAGTTCTGTGTACCTTGGGCTCCAAGAGCAGCCGGAGTGTAAAGAACAAGACGAGAGAATTTTGCAGAGAAAATGTGAAAAAAAGGAACTAAATTTTTTTTTTATTTCAGATGCCGAGATAAATATGAATTGACATCAGTGAGCCATGGCGGGAAAACAAAGTAGCGGGTAATGACTACCGAGTTCAGGGATATTTTTGGAATTCGTAGAGGCCCCGACGAGAAAGCAAAGTATAAGTATTATAAAATTTTAGAAGATTTAATGAAATTTGAGGAAAAAAATAAATGCCTATATGCTCAAATAAATCTCTTTATATTATTGCATCCTGTTCACGGTGATGTAGAAATATAAAATTTAAAGTCTTACTTTTTTTATGAAGATCTAACACATAATTAAATAAAAGATAGTGTAGCATTTATAAGAGCACCAAAATTTTTATATGAAAGCCTCTAAAAAAAAGATTGAAAATCTCGAGGCTTGGCCCAGTTTGAATTAATGCACTAGTATTTGAGTTGATTGCAAATGAGTCCTTTCCTGTGGAGAATGAATTGGCTCGATGTAGCAAATATACATCATATAAAGTCCTTTACATAGTGGGAGTTAATTAGAAGAATCAAGGTTGACACGTTTGTTTGGTCGGCATGACCATAGACGGCGGACAATGTTGGTCAGAGGAACCATAATCGGCAAGCGATAGAGATCGAAATGATCGTAATCACGCGAAAATGTTCTAAGAGACCTTAGTCTGAAGATGGTGATCGGAGAGATCATAGTAGGCAAGTGGTCGAGGTCAAAAAGATCGTAGTCGGGCGAGGATCGTAGTCAGTGGACGATTGAGGTCAAAAAGTTCATTGTTTTGTAATTGTGGTCGAAAGGAGCGTAGTCGGGCGATGGCAATCATTGAGATCGTAGTCTAAAGATGGTGGTCAAAGAGATCGTTTTTAGCGGGCAATAGAGATCGGAAAGATTGTAGTTAGGCGACGGTGGTTGAAAGGGAGTAATTGGGTGACAGCGGTCAGGCAGATCATAGTCTGTAGATGGTGATCGAAAGGACCATAATCGACGGGCAACAAATGTTGGAAAAGACCTTAGTCGGTGGGTGATGAAGGTCGGAAGGATCGTAGTCGAACGATAGTGGTCGGAAGGACTATAGTTAGGCGACGGGGATTAAAAGGACCGTACTCGACAAGTGATGGTGTTTGGAGTGGACCATATCCAACGACTGATGGTGGTAAGAGTGGACCGTAGTCTTGCGACGGTCAATAGTCGGGCGGGAGTCTAGCGATAATCGGTGGATGAGCTTAAGTTCAACAATAGTTGGTGGTCGGGCGTAAGTCCGAAGACATTTGGTGGCCAAGCGGAAGTCCGATGAAAGTCTGTGATAATTGGTGGCTGGGCGGTGATCAAGGAAGAGCTTGGCAGCAAGAGATATCTGATTTCACTTCTTTCTCATCTTCTCCTCCCTTTCTTCCTTGCACCCCCCTCAGTGGAGAATGAGGAAACTATTTGTATCTTTTTGGGAGTTACATGAACAGTAAATAGGGAGAAGATCAAGGGCATATTGGGAGTAGTTTGAATTAATGATCGATATGGATTCCCTTGATCATGGACTATTTATCGAGTATTTATGTGTCTCGATGATGTCAAAATCTGGTGATATTGGGCTCATTTGATTCAACTCGTCAAGATGCTTGATTCGACTATAAACATGCTATATTTGAAGATCATTTGGTCATCCATCTTATGGTTTAAATATTCTAACAATGCTTTTAGTCCTCAATTTGAACCCATTTGGACTCAGATTGAGTCAAATTCGGTATCGTTGCGTTCATCTTTTCGAGATGTTTAGTTTGACTATAAGTTTGATGAAACAGGAGTTTGGATGATCCCAAATTTAATTTCAAAAGTTTTCAACTCAAAATAATCTCAAGATTCGTGGCCGATCAAGGTAAATATATGATGATATATCATATATAAATTGCGCTTTATGGGAGAATTTTTATAAGAATGTCTTCCTTTAAAATTGATTACAATTTCTTTTTTCAAATTTTTTCAGTAAATGCAACATAAAAGCTCGATCATTAATTATTTATATATCATCAAAAAATACATCCAATAAAGCACAAATATTTATGCATGTATGTAAACTATAAACTTTTAATATCGATGTCGAGGTTAAACAATTCTCAAATCTTTCATGCATTGCGATCAAAATTAATGGCTCGATGAGAAAGATTCAACTAGGGCTGCAAACAAACCGAATCGAGCCGAGTATGTGAGCGCTCATGTTTGTGTTTGTTTATTATTAGATTTTTTAAGTTTGATTCGAGTTTTATTTCAGTGTTCATGTTTTGTTTGTTTAAATTAATGGTGTTCATATTTGGTTCATGTTCGGTTCGTTTAGTGCTTATCGAGCTTAAAACAAACAAGTCTTAATGAGCTATGTTCGTGAACATATTTAGCCAATTTTTTAAAACTATCAAATAAGCATATTCATGAACAAATCTAACGAATATTCTTGATCAATCAAATGAACAATATATAATGATTTAATATAATAAATTAGCAATTATAATAAAATTAAAACTACAACATATATTATAATACTTAATTACTTTAAAATTTAGTAATTAAAATAATTATATCATTATGTTATACAACAACAACAACAACAACATTAATCGAGTTATAATGAATTAAAATATTTATATTATATATATTTATCAATTTTATAATTAAATATTAATCGAGTTTTTCGAGCTTATTCACAAGTTTTGAATAGAACACGAATCAAACTTCTTATCAAGCTTAATGTCGAGCATGTTCACGAACTTCAAAATATGTTGTTCGTGAATATAAATGAATTGAACACACTAGTGTACAAGCTCATTTATTTAAGGATATAGTATTAAAAATGTTGTTCAAGCTTATTTGTTTAGTTAATTAAACAATCACAAACGAGCTTTAATCGAACCGAGTAACGAGTAGCTCATCAAACGTTTGGTTTGTTTGCAACCCTAAATTCAACGAACTAGAGATCGCTAATTTTAACATCATTAATGATATGTCACAAAAAATGGTCTTGATCCATCACTAATCTCAAGGCATATATTAGTATGTAGCATTCAAAACTAAATTCAGGATCAACATCAATTTTAGCAAAGTTAAAGTAAAATTTAACGTCTCGGCAGGATATATGAATCTAACAACGTCAAAATCAATCTAATCTAAGCCAAAATGGGCCCAAATCAAGAGATTGAAACTTATTTGAAAGGTACAAAGCATTAATTATATGACAAAATGATTTTTAAATATGATATGCTTATAGTCGAATCAAGCCCAATAGGCCTAATACCACTTAATTATGACATCATTAAGGCATTTACAAGCTTGATAAATGCTTTATGATCAAGGAAATCAGTACGAGTCATTCAATAGAACACTCATTGAATCCCGTGATCAAGGAGCGAGTAAAATTTGGGCAACACATGAAACTTTCTCATAAGAATTTAAGGTTTAAAAGAGAAAGAGAGAGCTAGAAAGAGAAAGTAAAAGAACATAAGCTCTAAGAGTTTTATATTCAACAAAAAATATCCAAATTATTATATATGCATCCCCTCACATAAAAAATTGGCACTTTAAACCTATATTTATATGGTTTTTGAGCTACACTAAAAGCTATATAAATAATAATAAAATAGTCTAGTTACATAAGGCGTGTTGCTCAAAAATATATAGCCCATTGAATCATTTTTATCTGGTGGATGATATCGGGCCATACTGTATGCCACTGGTAGGTAGAGAGTACGAGAGGAGAATGTAGTGTAATAAGAATGAGAGAGAGAGAGAGAGAGAGAGAGAGAGAGAGAGAGAGAGAGAGAGAGAGAGATTGTATGAATCTATATGAAATATTTATTATCCATGTTAAAGATATAAGCAGGTGTAAACGCTAGAGCTTTATATTACATAGAAAGAAATAACATCTCTCATTTTTTTTCCTCATGTGGTTCTTTCTTGTGATCTCTCTCTTATGAAGATGCTCTATATGATTGTTAAATTATTTCTTCATCTTGTTCTCTCATTTCCCTCTTCTTATCCATCCACCCCCTTTTATAGAGTATGGAAATTTGCATAAGGCACACCTTTGATATGATGGCCATCTTGTTAGATTATGTTATAAGTCAGGCGTCAGTGCCGAGTGAAATGGCAACTAAGAGGGGTGAGTCAGATAGGCTTGTGGAGACTTCTCGCCCATTAGTGATGAGCTGGTTTAGGAGGCCTTATTGAGATGAGACAAGGGAAATTTTATCTTCGAACTATAATAGGGAGGATGAGATGATGTGGAATATTAGGTCATTTTATGGTCTCCCTAATGTGAGGTGAGAAGGGTGAGTGATGTATTGGTGAGGCCTTTAGATATATCTAGTTGTGAGAGTTTGTCTTATAAGGGTGGTGTATATCACCCACAATTTGATGTATTCCACGTCAAAATCTTGGATATAGTTGAGATGAATATAAATTTATCCGTTTGAGAAAGTAACTTTTGAGGTTGCCCTTGCTTAGGGGCGACTGTTTAAAAGAGATGGTCAGTGTTGGTCCTCTTTTTCCAGTTTAAACTCATTTCGAGCTCATGAGCGAATCTATCGAACGAACTACTCCGAGAGAGGAGTAGATCCTCCTTTCTCTCGACTCAAATATGACCTACAAGATACCTGTGAACATGTACATGCACAAGCATTCACAGGTGTATAAAAAGCCAATAAAATATAAAAAACATGTTAACAACCACTAGTTGGAGTCTTCATCTTATTGGTTGAAGTTGTTTATTAATTGTATGAAAATACAAAATTATTAGGTGAAGTCGTGGTTTTGGTAGAATACAAATTAGCCAGAGTTGGTCTAGTAGAGCCCCATGCAAGAAATGAATTGGTGAGGTTAAAACTTAGATGAGTTGACTAAGAACCTAACAAGTCATAATAAATATATGGTGTTATTTGATGTTCCTTGGAGAGTTATTGATGAGTTTTTCAGAGAATTTTAAAGTGTCCCTTGAGATTTCCTAGAGAGTCCTTAGAGTATCATAAGGGAGTTCATGATGAGTTATCATAGAGTTTATGGAGAGTCCTGAAGAGTACTTAAAAAGTCTTTCTAAAGTTCTTAGAGAGTTTTGAAGCATCCTAGAGATTCTTGGAGAGTCCTTCGAGAATCATGGAGAATCTCTAAATAGTCCTTGGAGAGTTTTGCATAGTCATAGAGAGTCTATTGAGAGTTCCTATATAATTGTGAAGAATTTATTGAGAGTTCCTAGAAAATCCTAGAGAGTCTTTATAGAGTCATGAAGATCGTCTCCAAAGGATTATTGGAGAGTATTGGACAGTCCAAAAAATAGTCAGCGGAGAGTCTTAATTAGAGAGTGCACCCTAATCTTTAACATACTTGGTCATAGATTATTGATTTATTGCACTATCGATTCATATTTATTTATTCAAATCAGGTTTTCATTATTTATTATTATTTATATATTAGATTGTTGGTGTTACGTTCTCATTTACATATAAACAATTTTCAAAGTTATCTTGGTCTCTTAATGATTTTGTTTGTTGGAATTTGAGAATATCCTTCAATTAGATCTTTCCTCTCCATTATTATCTAGTTTCATTGTAGTTTTGGGCAATGATCATTGCTCAACTAAGTTAAGATATATGGCGTTGTTGGATTGAGATGTTACCCTTTCGCTGTTCAAATTTGCTTAATAAGGCTATATGGACTTTTAAATATTACAATTTAGACCTATGGAGTCTATTTCAACTATAATTTTATTACTTAAATAATATTTTTAGTCATACATGCCCCTCAGACGCTACACGCTCCTCGCAAGCCCCACCCGTCCACCCTAATCGCATACTTCCGCCAATACAGACGTCGCAGTCCTGACGCCCCCACCGGCTCCGGCAGCACGCGGCACAGTCATGCAGCCCCCGCGAGGTCACTGCCGCGGGGACCATTTCTCCTATATTCCCCCTTCCCATCCCTCTACATATCACCCACGCCTCGCAGCCCCTCGCGTGGCGCTTTCCGCCACGTGTCACCCTGCGTCGGTACGGCACTGGTACGTGGGTCCCATGCATGCAACATATCAGGCGGGGACCGCTTTCTCGTTTTTGCCCTTCGCCCCGTTGGGAAGGGCGAGACAGCGGTGGAATGGTCCGGGTGGGGACCATGGTGTGCCGGTGGTCGCCGGACGGCGGTGTGGGTGTCTGTTTGGGACCTTGGGTGACGGATTGCTTCGCTGTCGGATTCTAATTGGTGGTGGTTAAGTGTGGGAGGAGCACCGCCGTGCCGACGATTTCGCCGTACTGGTGCGGTGGTCCTCACCGACGACTTTGTGGAGACGAGGCTTAAATGGTCCCCTTTCGCGCCACCCATTATTATCCGCACACCTGAATATATAAGTTTAGTTCGCATAGAGAAATTAAATTTAATATATAACTAATTATGTCATTAATACACTACTTTGTGATGGCTTTATAAAATTGATAGTAAAGTTATAATGTAAAAAAATAATTTAAAAAAAAACCACTGTAGAAAATATATTCATTACAGATATGAGGATGTTAAGGCAGATGAGTTGTTTTACTCTTAGAGATAGGATGCGAAATGAGCATATTCGTGAAAATGTTGCTGTAGCTCCAGTAGCAGATAATATTAGAGAGAGTTGCCTTAGATTATTTGGTCAAATTTGACGGCCTTCTGTTGACCCCGTTATGAAAGTAGATATATAAAATTTGACTTATGTTAAGAAAGATAGAAATATATCTAAAAAGACTTAGTTAGAAAATATTATAAATGATATTTTCTTATTAGATTTAAACGAGAGTTTGACTTTAAACGGAACACAATGGAGAAAAATAATTAATGTAGGCAACTCCACGGAGTGGGCAAAAGCTTGATGTTGTTGTTATTGGGGATATTTCAACTATAAATTCTTAAAAAATAGAATAGAGATGACCCTAAACTTGGTTAATATTTTTTGTATTAAATTAAAATATTTGAGTTAAGAATAAAGTTTGTTGTATAAAAAATATATGAATTTATCTTATATTATATAAATGATATTTAAATTAATAATGGAAGTTGGGATATTGCTTATAACACATCATACAACCATCCTCAGCTGCCTAAACTACTGCTTCGATCCAAATGGCATTTCCCAACCATCTGCTTCCACAGGAGATATCCATGCCCGCGAAACAAACCTCATTAGTCCTCAAACCCACATTCCCGGACGAAGACGAAGACCTCAACCCCCGCTCCTCCACCCAACCGCCACCGCCTTCCCACCACCTCTTTCCTAACGGATCCAACAACGTCCCCACGTGGCTTAACACCGCAATCCATCGTGATCAACAAGCCCACCATTGTTCCGACAATACAAGATACATTCACCTCCACACCGCATCAGACTCGTCTGAAGATCGATGGCTCCATATACCAGCCGGCGCCGGCGAAGTTTCTCGAGCTGCGCCCACGGGGCAGAGGAGGGAGAGTGGTTGGGATCGGGTGCAGGGAGACTGGCAGAGCGCGAGATATAAGACGGAAATTATGGCACACCCACTATATGAGCAGCTACTGTCGGCTCATGTGGCGTGCCTGCGGATTGCGACGCCGATCGATCAACTCCCGCGGATCGATGCGCAGCTCGCGCGGTCACGGGAAATTGTTGCGAAGTACTCGGTTCTTTGTGGTGGGGGCGCCGGAGAGATTGCCGATGGAGATGGAAAAGAGCTTGATCGGTTCATGGTTTGTTGTCTTTTCTCGCCTGTTCCATTGTTATCTTATTCACTTGTTAGCAGGAACACACAATTATTTGCTCCGTAATTTCTAATTAATATTGCTAAAGCACTTTTAAAGTTTTAATTGCGAAATAGTTATTAATGACCCGTCAGTTCTTCATTTATTGCTTTGCTCTGATTGTTGACGGTTTGAAAAGGTAGACAGGATCAGAAAGGGCAATGAAGAATGGATCCTATATAACATTAGGGATATCGTGTCACAACGCTTAAATAGATAGGATGATTATGTTTATTTCTTTAATTATTCCTAGTTTATTTGTTTTTTGGGACTTTGAATGATTGAATTAAATTATGGCTGGAAGAATCAAAGTTCATAGGCTGTTAATTTTGCTACAAGCACTCAGCTAGAATTTAATAAATATTATCAATTCATATTTAGTATATTTTTAGAGTATTAAAATTTAAATTTTATTTGACATAATAACTGTTAAATCTTGTCAACTTCTGAAACTATTTGATATTTTGTTTTAAAATTTAGAGGAGAAATTTTTAAATCTAATAAAATTCTGATGGATTTTAATAAATCTTGAAGGGAGATTAACTATAATTTATCAAAATGACACGGATTTAAATCCTTGAATTCTATTTAAGGATTTGAGCTAAATGTTACTTAAATCCTCACTAAAGTAGATACCAAGCAGCACCCAGAGGCGTGGATGAGTTTTTTTTTTTTTTAAATTTAAATTTATATATATATATTTGTTATATGAGTTGGTCAAGCCCAGGCGCCGCCCAGCTCTGCAACTTTTATATTAAGGGCAGTGAGGCTAAAGAAAACTGTTTTTTCCCAAAAAAATTTTTTTTTTCCCAAAAATAAAAAAAGAAAACTGTTGTCGACTCATGTGGCGTGCCCGCGGATTGCCACGCCTGTGGATTCGCAGCTCACGCAGTCGCTAGAAGTTGTTGCGTTGAAGGCTGCGGCGATGGGCCGATTCTTGCTAGCAAAGAAAAGGATTTTTTTTTTGGAAGGTTAGGGGGTTTGAACAGCCGAATTATTACGTTCATCCGGACATTCAGACACGCCACATCCCTCAGATACATTGAGCTCTGGGTGTATCTCGGTGATATGCCGCATCTGAATTGGTGTCCGGACAAATCCGAACACCGGATGTTATAATTTCCCTTCAAAGAGGCTCACGTTCGAAGCCCCTAATCTTTAAAAAACAAAAAAGGATATTGATTATTAATTTCATGGTCAGTTGCTTCTCCTTCTTTGTACCTTAGGGCTCATTTGGTTTAAAAAACGATTATTTCGCTTCCTTGTATATTATTTGCTAGGAAAATATTATATTAAAGAGGTTTTTGAAAACATTTGTCAAATTAAAATAAACGTTGATTCCTAACGTCATCGAGTCAAATGATGCATCTAGTAATTTTTATCATGTTTGTAATTGTATTCTTTTTTTTTTTTTAACTTCGAGCCCTTAGCTCCTAGTCTCCTTTCGGTGTACAAATGCAAAATTTAACTCAAATCTTTTGCCTTCGTCTCTGTTATTTGCTACTTAATAATGAGCTGTTTTGTAAATAATGCTGTTTTGGCATTTTCTTGATTGCGAAATAGTAGACCTGATCATACAGTTCTTCTTTTATTGACTTGGTCTGATTGTGGGTGGTTTAGGTTAGGCCAGAAAGCAGCGACAAGATCAGAAGAGGTATAAAGAGTGACTGATGTATAATATCTTATATAAATTTGTAGGAATGGCGGATTACCGACGTTTAAACAAATAAGGTAATAATGTTTGTTTGCTGGATCATTCATGGTGTAGTTGGTTTTTGATTTGGGGTTGGTGGAGAAGATTAGCTGAGTTTTTTTTTTTTTTTTTTTGCCATTAGATTTATTTTATTGTGTCAGTTGGTTGAGCCCAACTCTGCAAATTAGGTGAAGAGCTCATTTAATTGTGAGAGAAAACATGCGATTAAAAAAAACAAAAAACGATGGCTTCATTTCTGCGTGGAATCATTATAGCTGAGGGGTTTTAGAGGACCTTGTGGAGTTTAAATCCGTTCTTAATTTTTAACACATCCAACTTGATGATAGAATTTAACAGAGCGTCTTAATACTTAATACCAGAGAACACTGGTATAAAAAAGTTGGACAAAATAGCTGCGCTCTTGGATAAAATCACAGCACCAATGAATTATGAATTACTAGTCTTGGAAAATATTACCTGAGAATTTCTTAGTTTGACCATCAGATTTTTTGTGCAAGCTTTTTCAGCCAAAATCTGCAAATTAGAATAAGGAACCGTGAAATTGAAAGTTGGATTGCAAAAATCTTATTAGTGTAACTTGATAATTCTTACATCTATTGCTATCTTTGCTAATTCTTCTATGCTATTTTTGAGAATTTTTAATCCATTATGTAGGGCAACTTAGAGACAGAGCGGAGCGCCACGGTGCTCCAATCCTCGGCACCATGGCGCTGAGAGTTGGGCTGGGAAGTTTTTTCTTCTTCTCTTTTTTCATGTTCAACGTTAAGGGTTGAGTTCCTTGGTGTTGTTGAAGAGCGTCTTTTGTCTATTTTTTTAGTAGAATGACACATGAGGGAAGAGAGACAATAAAAGAGGGAGAGGGAAAGAGATGTATAATTTCTCTCATTGTCATAATTAATTTCTTGGTGTGGTGTGGCGTGGCTATGTGGTTTTATTTTTCAGTTTCAGATTTTTTCACATTAAATCCAAATGTTCTTTCTTTTTGATGAATTTTTTTCTTTCTTGTTTGTTTTCACTATGTGGTGTTTATTTTCAACAACTGGTATCAGATCCATATTCTTCAGTTCGAGTGGGAGTAATGCATGATGAAACAATATACAACATTGAGAAGTTTAATGGTTCGAACTTTGCATTATGGAAGATGCAAATTGAAGATCTGCTTTATCAAAAAAAGTTGTATTTGTCGTTGGAAGAAATAACCAAGAAACCATATTCAATGACTATGGAGGAGTGGGAGGTTCTTGAACGAATAACGCTAGATTTGGTTTGAATTTCACTTTTCTCATATTTTGCTTTCAATATTATTAATGAGAAGACTATAGTTGATCTTATGGTTGTACTATCTAAGATATATGAGAAGTCGTTAGTCTCAAACAAAATTTTCTTGATGAAGTTATACAATATGAAGATGTGAGACTTTAGTTCTTTGGAAGAACATCTGAATAATTTAAACGCTGTGATGAATTAGTTATGCTTTGTTGGCATTAAGTTTGATGACATGGTGAGAGCATTATTGTCGCTATATATCTTCATTGTCAAATAGATTGGATGGACTAGTTATTGTTGTAACTAATTGTTCAGAAAGTTCAAAGTTAAACTTTGAGGACATATTGGGGTTAGTGTTGAATGAAAAGGTTCGCAGGATGGTGAATGATGAATCTTCAAATTCTTCTATGAATGTCGAAACCAGAGGAAGTGGTTTAGGAAAAAATTCAAGTAGAGGAAGACCTAAATCTAGGAGAGGAAAGTCTATTTCTGGTGGATTGAAAGTTGTGTGCTCGAACTATGGAAATAATGATTGTACTATTCCAAAGAAGCTAATAGCGAAGGTTAAGATAAAAGTCACTTTGCAAATGTATATGCAGAAGAAGTTTAGAGTGGTTATCTGATTTTGTGTTTGGATAGTTCTAAATCTCGGGTTATAGATTTAGGTGCTATATTTCATACAAGTCCTAACAAGAAGGTGTTCAAGAACTACACACAAGATAATCTAGGCACAAAATGTTTGGGAGCCAGCAAACCCGACAAGATTATAGGACAGAGATATTGACATCAGAATGCCATCTGTATCAACTCAGAGGCTCATATTAGGTATTTTACTTGTTTTTACGTTACACGGCCTCATTCACAAGAGATTCATGTAAGGTGACAAAAGGGGCTATGATTATAACTCATGACAGCTTAAAGGCACCATATATATTATCAACAAAAAATCAGATTCTATCGGAGTAGCTGATTTAAATGTTGATGGATGTCTTTGACATCGTAGGCTTGGTCATATGAATACACTTTTTACAAGAGGAAAACTTGGTTTAAAATCTATAAATCTAGATTCTTGTGATGACTATATATATGATAAATAATAGAAGGTTTCTCAAAGACTGGTTCAAAGGTGAAGTCAAAGAAGGTAGAGTTAATTTACACTGTTGTATGTGGTCCTGCTTCAGTTTCTTTTATAGGAGGGTCTTTAAATGTTGCCACTTTTATTGATGATCACAACAAAAAGATAGGATTATATTTCCTAATGGCCAACATTTTGCGGTTCTACGCCAAATAGCATTGTGGGTTCATCACCATCTTATAGAATTTTTTCTTAAGTTTGAGGGGTACTTTTCTATCACATAACAAGTTTGATGCATTCCTCCACTTAAACCATCCAACTTGAATTTACTAATAATATCACATCTATTTCGCCATCACTTTGAACAACTGACTCGAGATATATAAAATGTGTATTCTTTTTAATGACTTGATCACCTGAAGTCACAATTCTCCGCTAGATCTATTACTACTAAAATTATACTCCATGTTTTTGGTTTTAGACCTGCTTTAAAAAAATTCTTTTGACTCTAAGGTTGTCATCCATAATTCAAGTTTTCCTTCAACATCCTCTATAGTCTTATCAGCAAAAAAAAATTATCAGCAAAAAAAAAAAAAACCAAGTATATTCTCATGCAAATGTCTAATAAGAACATCCAAGACTAAAACAAAAAGATATGGAATTAAAGCTTATCCGTAATGTAATCTAATGGAAATAGGAAAAATACTTGGACAAACCACTTTGTGCTTGAAAAAAGAAGAAGAAGCTCCTACGTAGATCTCCTTAATGACTTGAATATAAGCATTATTAACTCCTTTCTTCTTTAAAACTCTCTAAAGCAGTTAGGTCAGAACTTTATTATAAGCTTTCCCTAAATCAATAAATATCGTATGTAGATATTTCTTATTCTCTCTATACTTCTTCATCAAACATCTCAATAAATGTATAACTTACATAGTATGCATGTTTGGCTTGAATCCAATTTGATCTCCCATAGTTTTAATGTATGACATATTAACATGATTCCTCTATAATTTGCACACTATTGTGCATCACTTTTATTCTTAAAAATAAGAATCAACAAACTCTTTCTACACTCATCTGACTTTTTTTACTCTTCAAAATAATATTAAAAAATATAGTAAGGAGGTCTCACAACTTCTTCATCAAACCTCTCAATAAATGTATAACTTACATAGTATGCCTGTTTGGCTTGAATCCAATTTGATCTCCCATAGTTTTAATGTATGACATATTAACATGATTCCTCTATAATTTGCACACTATTGTGCATCACTTTTATTCTTAAAAATAAGAATCAACAAACTCTTTCTACACTCATCTGACTTTTTTTACTCTTCAAAATAATATTAAAAAATATAGTAAGCCAAGAAATTCCTTCATCTCATATGTATTTCCACACCTCGATTGGAATATCAACAGGTTAAACTATTTTTTCACACTTCATTATTTTTAAAGTCTCTCTAACTTTGGTTTTATCAATACGATAAAAACAAAAATATCTATTTTCATTTAGAGTGATAAGGTCACTAAAGTCAATTTTATTCTAATAATTTTCATTGAAAAACTTATAAAACAATTTTATCCACCCATGTTGAATATTCTTTTATAATAAAATTATTTTTTTAGTTTTCATTCTTGATGCACTTTATTTGAACCAGATCCTTCTCCTATCTCTTTGTATATCTAATTTATATATACATCTTTCACAGTGCTTAATATATAATCTATTATTTAAATTATTAAAAGCTAAATTTTTTATATTGCATATTACTATCTTAGACTCTTTACAGAGCTTTTTATATCTTTCATATATTTCTAAGCTTTATATACCTAAATTAATTTTTATAATAAAATTTCTTATTTTTTAATTTTTTCTTGTACATTTTGATTCCACACATATTATTTTTATTATTAGGAGTTTTTTTTTTTGATACTTCAAGCACATACTTTGCAATATTATTAATATTTCTATCTACTCTTTCACACATAATATTAGTTTCATCATGCACAGTCAAAATCTTATGACAATATAAATCAATTTTTATAATAAAACTTCTTATTTTTTTTAATCTTTTCTTATACATTTTGATTGCATTACCAATTATTTTTAATATTAGGGATTTTTCTTTTGATACTTGAAGCACATACTTTTTAAAGTTATTAATATTATCAGCTATTGTTTCGCACATGACATTAGCTTCATCATTTACAATCAACATGTTGAGATATTGAGTCTTACTCGTTAAAATATTTTTGTTAACATTTTTTAAATGCTCTGATCTAATCCATATTTTATTTTATTTTTCATATTATGCCATTTCATCTTAAAGTCCAAAATTAATAAATGATGTTGTGTACATACACATTTGCTCAAAATAATTTTATAACATTCGTAATCTAAACGATATATTTTTCTTACAAGAAAATTAATAAATCTAAGTTTTATTAAATCCATTTTTATAAATGATAAGATGCTCCTCTCTTTATGAAGTGAAAATATATTGTTTTAGGTCTTAGATATGAAAATAAGAGAGTTTGAAATTGTTGGGCATGTAAATCTCTTAAAAATAAAATACCTGATAAAGACCATTGAAATAAAATTATAATGATCATCACGACAAAGTTGACGATTTCATACTACATTAACACTCCAATCCCCCTCCAAAAGAGAAGGAAATACTAAAGTGCTGGATGAGTGTTTTCAAAATTCTTTGTCGGAATCATTTGTAAGCTGTTTCACTATTTGATCCATATATTGGTAAGTTTGATATATTGTGAGTGGCTTTTATATTAGTAGCGATTCAAAATGTAAACTATTCATGCCATCATGATTATTGAAATTGACTACATAGATGAATTTGATACGAATTTGTTGCTTAATATTATGTCATGACTCAGCTCGGATACTCAAGTTACTTATGCGGGAACAAATAATTGTGCGAATATCGTAGTTCTTTCACTAGTGATAATTACTCAATAAACTAAATATTCAAATGTAACTGAATAGCCTTTAAAACAATTTATTGTCTAAACATACTATAAAATAATTCTTACCTATTTTTTTAGTTGATTCTCTTCTTTTGTACACGAAACCTTCTCTATCAGCAATTTAATCAACATAAGATTTACTTAAAATTTTCAATTTAACAATTTGAGTTTTTCGTAACAGCTTAGTGGTCAATTACGGTTTATAGTATAACAATTAAACATACATTTAAATAGTCATACTCATTTATCAAACTGTTCATTGAACATACATATACATATCTATTATAGATGTGAATGTTATAATTTCTTGATTGATAAAATATTCTTCACAATTTTCATTTTTTTTTTAATTTTTGTTCTTTTCTTAGAAGATGATATTCAACAAAGATGGATGAGATATTTTGCTAAACTTTTTAATGAAGATTGTGAATATAAGATTGACTATAGTGACCTTAGCACCCTAGATGAAAATAAAGATTTATGTTTTTATCGGCGTATTAGTAAAACTGAAGTTAGAGAGG